AAAAAAAAAAAATATATATATATATATATATGGCTCAAGAGTAAGTGCCCTTTTTCAATGGCTGCCCCCGCCGCTTCATGTTGCTTCCGGCGCCCCTGATGTAGGCAATAAATTAAGTTTCCTAAGACGCTCAAGATAAGACAACTCATAATTTTGAAGTATAAATTTAGTAGCTCGTCTCTGAACACCCTCCACGATCGTAAGATCGCGTGACGAGGCTTGAGGTGCCCAGATCTCACTGGCGTAAGACAGGAAAGATCGAACGAGTAAGAGATAGAGAAGCCAACGGTAGCGAGTATCAGTCATTTGAGAACAATTTCTCCGAAGAAAACCAAGCAAATTAATAGGAATTAAAATTATTTTGTAGCATACTTAGCAAACCGAAGTGATTGACTCGAGTTATCTCTGCATAGTAGGTTGCTGACGACAAAATAGTTAGTGAATGAGTCTAATTAACATAACTGGCAGGATTACTCTTGGGATATACCGTATTCGTTTAAATTTTCACCAACAAATTTCAAGCCATTATTACCTATACAAGTATACGATATACGGATTATTTAAGGAATTTTAAGGATTGATAAATAGCCTACAACCCGAATGATATCATCTCTAGCTTGCTGACAATGCAATTGTTTGGGAAAATAACTCTCAAATTGTGTTGCCAAATCGAAATGTATGCCGGCAAGCTTATAGCCAGTTTCTTATATTCTAATGAAGTATAACAGCACTAGTAAATGCATTTTTGTGTAATTAAGGATTTCTGGTAATTTTTGTCCGGGAAACGAGCATGAATTTATTCGAGTAGTGGTCTAGTGGATATATTATTTCGGTTGCTTTTTTCCAAACGTTGAGCTTTTCAGGAGGTGAAATTTAATTTGTTTCTATACTGAAAACGTAAAAATAGGGTTAAGAAAGGCGTTAAATCTCAAGAAAGAAAATAAAATTTATCCAGTTGAAACGTACCTCTTTCCCACTTTTCGTGCTATAGTTAATATTTTACAAGTGAAACGTGAAATCGATGTTTTCTTCATATAAAAGTGATTCGAAAACGACACTGACTGACTTTGAATATACTTGTCAATGATTGTATTCTTAAAGCAATGGGATTGTAAACAGATCACAGTTCTCGTATAAACATTATATATACATTTAGCAAAACTGGAAAAGATTGTTGCATCAACTTCGACAGTGAGGTGGTTTAGAAATTCTTAGCTGGAAAACAACAATCTGTGCGTATTGGTTCAACACTCAATGAGAGCTTAGGTATAAATCATGGTGTTCCCAAAGGTTCAAATGCTCTTTAATTAAAAAATTATACGTATAGGCTGCCTACTGCTTGCAACCATTGCAATACGATTCAAAACTATTTCTTCTTGCATTTACTCTAAGGGAATGAGCCCGCGGTTTGCTGGGCTGGCCCGCTTAAACGGGCGCCAGGCTTCATACTAATTTCCAACACAAAACAATTTCGCTTTACATAACAACCGTGCCAGCCCGTTTAGCTGGGATCCCACTTGACTCAAATGGGGCGCCCGGTCAGCTGGGATGAAATTTGTCGATGTAAAGTCACTAGCCCGGATAACCGGGCTGGCACAAAAACCTTGTTTAACACAAAAATATTTGTAGAAATAGATATTTTTCAGGATAATATCTTATTTCTTAAGTTAATCTTGTTGATAAAGTAGTTTTTAATCGAAAATTTGTCCAATTAACAAAGCGTGAATTTCACTTTCGTGACAAACATAACGTTATTAACTCGTAAACAAATTTTTCCCGCCAATTTTCGCTTGCTGACGTTTCAGCCCGGCTTACGTCTCATCCCGGCTAACCGGATTCATGATAAACAGCCCAGCATGAGCTCCACCTTTGAATTTACTATATGAGTAAATTCTTAAACACGTCCGAATTTATCATTATATGATAAATTCGCGGCACATTTTGAATTTATCATCATAATAAATTCGCGGCATCTAACACTAACCCCAACTCTAACCACTAACCCCTAACTAATAACCCCTAACCCTAACTTTTTTAACTTTTGTAACAGGGTAATTTGGGAAACTTGCAGCTTGACTGAAAAGGAAAGACGAGAAGAAATTATTGAAAAGCAACAAAATTCATAAACATTAAACATTCAAAGCAAACTTGCACTTTATTTCACGATTCCCATAGTAAATCAATTCTTCTCATTTCTTCAAACAAAAATTGCTTCAAAGCTCATTGTGTGAAACGTGATTTTCCAAATATATGCTTTTGAAAATTGAAATCTTGCTTATCCCACTCCTAGCAAACAGCCATATTTTTGAGATCAGTCAGGAGGTCCACCCATGAACCATAGTCACGCGCCCACAATCATTGATGAACTTTAGACTTCGCTAATGCTTTCCTTTCTCCGGGTGTAAATAGCCGGGGGGAATTAGTACCCTCGCCCAGGGCTAACGCCCGGAACGGCGCTCCGTACCGTTGGCTCGGGAAAAAATCCGGACGTGTTTAAGAATTTACTCATATAGTAAATTCAAAGGTGGAGCTCATGTTGAAATAGCCCCTAAATAAGTTGGACGATGCAGTAATAAGTCAAGACCTTCAATCTATGTTCGAGTTTAAAAATAGTACCGATTACCAATTTGCTGACGTGTGCTTATCGCTATATTTCTTTAATCTATAATTGGATAAAGGCGAGTGTACACGTCATCATTCCTCGTTGCAACTGGACGAAATGTTCACAAAAATATCAATCATGTAATCATGTTTACTTGTTTTTGTCTTTTTGAATTTTGAGCCAAACATAATTTCAACAACTGCCTCAAACAAAATCAAACAATACAAGTTCACAAGGAAGCGAAGAAAGTTCAAAGCTGTTTTGATTTTTGAAGAAACTGCGGCAATGAAAATACAAGCTCTAGAGGCAGAGCTTAAGAAATGAAAAATATATAAACAACCGAGTGTACAACGTTCTTCATCGTTGATATGAATATGAAATTCATTATATAACTTCTTTCCAATTTTTAATAAACTATTACTAAGTTAAATCTACAAGCAAGGAAGACGCGTTATTAAAGTTTTGTGTATATATGTACTTTGTGCAAGCGTAGGTTGTCATCTTTCGTAACTTTTGATCGCTTATGACAAAATATGACAAAATTCAGGAAACGTCATAACTCGCAAACCTTTAAAAGGCGATACTTTCCAGTTGGAGGAAAATCATCTAAGTTCAGTTGCTTTAATCGATGGTACATTAAGATTATGTTTAAAGAATCGTTGAAAGACAAACTCTGAGCCTTTTGAATTCTAGCTCAACTTGTATCAAATCAAATTTTCTCCCAATGGTTGTCGATGCTTTTTCAAATATCATGTTGGTATGACTTGCTTTGAACAATCTTGCCACCATCAAATCCGTGTTTCTACCCGCAAGAAATAATTCATCCATGACTTATTGCATCTAACCAGTCACGTGCGACTTTGCCATTTCACACAACTAATCATTCGTTGGAGATATTGATCGCTGCCTTTTCTTCAATTAAAAATGCAAGTTCTGCGAATAGCACTGGCCATCAATATTTTGTTTTTTGGTCGACAAATGCTTCAACCATTTTCCTTCGACTGCTGAAGCGCAGCGATTTCCTGTTGAAAGACCATTTATTGGTGTGGCAACTGGAACAATAACAAGTAGCTTGCTTGCCAAGCTTCTACATATTGAAGACGAAGACAAGCCTAAATGTGCTTTGTCTATTTCCAATATGCTAACAAAGTACCGTCTAATAAACCCATTACTTTACCTGGTACACGGTGAAAATCCTATGCCAGTACCTTTGAAGATAGAAACAAACTCAACAGTAGATACACTTTTCGAGGCCGCGGCAGGGAAAAAAGACACGTCAGGATTGCTGTTTTATGAGATCGAAACAATTCCTCATTTTTTGGTAATATTTTGGAAAGTAACGGGTCCAACAACCGCCGGCTCGTACACATCAAATCGGTTTTACGTTGACTTCATAGCTGGTGAAAAATTCCGCTTCTTTAATGAAGAATTTCTCAAAAAGATATATCTGGAAAGAAAAAGCTATTCCGAACAAACAAACGAAGCAAGTGATTTTAATGTAAAGGCTGTACCATTAATAGTTCCAGGGACACCAGCCCTTAACAGACTCAAAATTACCATTCGTGCACAAATGACAACGGAAAAAGATTCCAAATTAACGGTAGAAATAAATGACAACCTTTCCCCTGTTGCAGCATCTCAACTTTACAGACGAGCAACTCCAGCCACTCTAATTGGTCTGGGTCTTGCTAGTACCTTTCTCAACCTCGTGTTCAAGCACATGACGAAATATATACCGTCGCAGGAAACGGGAACTATTTTACTTGAGAACGTATCGAAAGAAAATTCATTAATTAATCCAAGCTGGTTTATTAATGCCGGACATACCTCATCCGTTGTTCCATGGGAAATTAAACCTTCCGAAAAGGGTTCTATTTCTTTCGTTAGTCCATTCTCAGGAAAGAAAGTCCAAGAAACGTTCAGTCATACGGTTCATTTCTTGTCTTATCAAATCGATGGTACGAATTATCACCTTATTATTGGATCGTGGTTCCCATGGAAAGTTTCTAAAGGACATAAAACATTCACGCTATTTGTCATGGAGAACACATTACCTGATACTCGGTCAATGAAAGATGTTCTTTCATTTCTTGGGGAAGGACTTCGTAAAAAAGATGGTGATGTAAGCCAATTGAATGCGTACTTAGCAACTAATCCAATGGCAAAAAACATTATTAGCAGTATTCCCGACCATAAAGTCCATGGAGTTGAGTCGTCAAAACTTGAAAGGTATATGGAATGGCAATATCCTATATTTACGCCGACAATAAACACTGTTCGTGGGGAAAAATACCACATCAAAATTGTTGCAGCAGTTGGTTATGGAAATGCTTTTGGTTTGGCAGTTACAGTTGAAGTTGTAGCTGGGACTTCCATAAATGAAGAAAGTTTTTTAAAACAGAACCCCCAAATATATCAGAAGTCGTCAGCCAAGGCCTTGAGGCATCTTGAAACCGGCCTAGCCCGTGGTGCGTCTTCACGAACAGGAAGCACAGCAACAATGATGTCAGCAACGGGAAGGACAGCAATGAGAATGTCAGGAATGAGAGCGCCCGAAACAGCAACGCCAGTAGCACAAAGACCACGATATGACATGCCAGCAAATGGAAATTTGTCTACAGGGCCAGCAGCGACAGGAATGTACGTGACACAAACTTTTCCCACATTAGCAACAAGAAAGACGCCTTCAAACATGGCAGCAAAGACGGTTGTGAAGAAATCAGCAAAAATTTCCCGTGGAAGAGCCCTACTGACTGATATTGTAACACAAAGAACACAAGCAAAAAGGCTAAACTAAAAAAGGAAGGATCACAACAACAAGAAAACTGACAAGGAAACTTTCACGAAGAACAACAGCAACAAGGGAATTTTTACCATCATCAAACAGAAACAAGAAAAAGATCAGCGGAAAGAACGACAGCAGCAAATTTAATCATTTAATTTAATTATTTTATCACAAAACTGTACTGTATTAATTAAATAGCTCTAAACTGGTAAATTGAAATGCATATTATACATAACTGTCATAATTGTTGAGTACATAAATTCTAAACTTAAAATCAAACCATAATAAGTAGGTTAGCAAGTTATCATGTGAATCAAAAGAAAAGACTATGGGAATTTTTAAAAGCGCTAAGTTTTAGAAGTGTAATTCTAATACATTACATTATCTAACCATGTTTCTTTTTCTGATATCTGGACAAGTGTTTTGGATGTAAGTCATGTAATTAAAAATCACGTGGGACATGTGAGTGAGTTAACAGCTACTGTATGTTATCACAACGATCTTTCAACAGTTATACTATATTCGTAATAAGTGACCCCTTCTTTACCCTCGCAATGTTATTACACTGTTTTAATATATAAGTATAGGTAATAGCATGATTTAGAGTGCAACTTGGATATCACATGCACGAAGGACGAGTGTTATTGAGGTCTTTGAAAAACTCACGAGTACATGTTTATCCAAATTTCACGAGAAACTATGCTATAATAATTACTTAACAATAATGCACATAAAAATGTTCGAGACAATTATAGTTTTAATTTACGTTTCTAGCGAACATTCCACTGGCAAAGTTTTCCTGGCTTTGTTATACCATAGGCCTATACAACGCTAATAGCTTGAAAATTCCACTCAACAGTGTAAGTTTTGTTAGTCTTGTTTAAGGTAAAGGCTTTTCCGTTTAAGGTATAGAGGCTTTTCCATATTTAGATAAAATCCACATTTTCCACGCGAAGTCAACAAGTCAGTAAGATATTTTGCATATCTTCACTAGTGAAGATATCGAACATGTAACTTTTTCTAATTTGCTTTTGAGCGTGAAATTTTTACAATTTTTTGCTTGGGTCTATATAATAAACAGAACATTACCCGGTGGCATGAAGATATGACTTTTATCTTCTCGTGTCAAAAACAATAATTTACTCACGCGCTCGTTCGTAAAATATTTTTTCCACCACTCGAAGCAATCTCTTTCCCCAAGCCGAGCCTGCGATCTTCGGAAAGGAACGTGAGGCTTTGGGATAACCCGTTTCAGGGAGGAATCTGATTGGCCGTTGATATGGAATGCGCAGTTCGGTCTTAGCCAGGATTCCTGGCTTCCGGCAACGGATTATCCCATAACCTCACGTTCCTTGATTGCACTCGAAGATAAAAGTCATATCTTCGCGCCGCCGTGTAATACCTCTATGTATATTATTAATGACATAATACTCAATTTTGATTGACTAAGAGCAGTTCAATTATTTTTGAAATTGCACACTATATAACAATATAAAACAAAAGATATAAAACGTATATACTCGAAATTTTGTGAAACCACACAAATTTCTCGTTTTCCAGTTGTGTTTATATAACTGTATATCAACACGAAAAATGTTTTATATTTCTTTTATAATGTAGTACAAATTTCGGGAATACGCCTTTGATTTTAAAGAGCGGCGGGAAATTTTCCGTGTCGAGATTGATGATTTATGTCAACACGGCTCTTGGCCAATCGGCGTTCAGAGTTTACAAATGCTATATCATAAAATGGTATGGTAATTCTGCTAGTCTTCATGGTCTATAATCACCATAATAACTTCAATTACTGTAACAATACTTTATTTTTCACTGTAAAGAAACATCTAAGTTTCTCCAAGTTTTGTTTCCCAAAGGCAAGCATAGGCCCTAATTGCGATGACTGATACAAGTAATTAGGAGAATGATAAGTTCAAGACCAGTGCATTAGAAGAGGATGAACATTTAATACTTTTTTCTATTTTTTTATTTCAAATGAGATATAGTGGAATCGATGAATATTTATATATAAGCCACGTATACAACATTGCAATGTAAATTGCTTCACCGCATTAGATAATGCTGCGTTACGAAAAACAAACCGTTGGTTAATAACTGAGGTTTATGTCGTTATTCCGTGCCTATGTAATCAATTTCTGGGTGAGTCTGTCGAAAAACAGCATGTAACAACTTTAACCACCTGGTTGCCAATGGCAACGCACTGTAGCCGCCTTAAATACATTTTTTTAGAATATTCATTATAATAATATAATAATAATAATAGTTTATTAGGACTCTCTTGCAGTTACAGAAACAACTGAATTAACGAGTACTTTACAATAGATAAGAATATTTTATAAAATAGTACATGGATATGCTTTAGAATCTAGGCTATTTACAAGAGTTAAAATCATTAGGCATTTACCAAAATAGTAAATAGTGCATGCATAATTATTTACAATTTTCATATATATTAAAAAAAATCTTAACATATTAAGAGTATTTAAATGTAAAAAAGGATTGAGCTTTAATTGTTCTGCAATCAGTAACATTATTAAATAGATAAAATCGATCAGTGTTCTGTCTCAAATTAATGTCATGGTCAGGAACAACAGGGATTGGCGGCAATAAGGGATGGATTTCTCGCCTCATTCTGACCATGTATTTCTGACATATTTGCACTCTTCTTGTGGTTAAAGTTGGTAGTTGTGCAAAATTCAGGGCCTCCGCATATGACTCGCTCTCCGAGAAAATTATCTTTAGTGCTCGTTTTTGGACCGACTCAATTTCCTTCGATAGATAATCCGGAATGTTTTGCCAAATAGGGACGGCGTACTCAAGTACCGGTCTTACTGTGCACATGCAGGTACACTTTCAGTAAATTCTTTTGGTCAACCCCAGCTCTTCGCAGGACTCTTAAAGGGTACAGTTTTTTGTTAGCCTTCTTAACAATGTATTCGATATGGGGATTCCATTTTAGGTCGCTACTCAAAATGACACCCAAAGATTTATACGTTGTCACACGCTCAATAATATTGTTACCAATTTGGATTGGTCGGAGTAAGAAATTGGGGTTATGTAGGAAGTTTATAAGCATTTCCTTACACTTCTTAGGATTGAGCTTCATGTTATGTTCATTAGCAAATTCATGTATATCAGAGACTGCAAAATTAAGGAGGCTGATAGAGTTTCTAGGAATAATCTCGTGGGCTGAAGTATCATCCACGAATTTTGTACGGAGATGCCAATTAGCCAGTAAGCTATTTGTCATGACCATAAAAAGTACCACTCCGAGTTTAGTCCCTCGGGGTATTCCTCCCTTCAGAGTTTGCCATTGAGAAAGGACACTACCAATTCTAACCGCCTGCCTACGATTGAATAAAAAGGCTGAGATCCAGGACAGCAAGGCAGGGTGAACCTGGAGCTTATACAGTTCTTGTATTAAAATAGAGTGGTCAATTAGGTCAAAACCTTTTAAGAAGTCTGCGAAGAAGATACGAGCACCAGCTTCGCCCCCGTCCAATGCCTCATGAATTGTTTGCATCATGTAGAAAAGGGCATCTGTTGTTGAGTGCCCTTTGCGGGCATATTGGCGAGGGTCGATTTTTCCTTCCAAGTCCTTTAATAGTCTAGTGCAAGTAAAGCCTTCCATAACTTTTGCCATTGAAGAAGTAAGCGAGATTGGGCGGAGATCATTTTCAATTGTTTGAGGAGGTGATATCTTCGGAACTGGAATTACGATAGATGACTTAAGTGGTGATGGGATATTCGCTTCTTTCATTGACTGGTTGTAAATATTACGAATGACTGGAGCCAGTTCAGGAGCAAACTCTTTCAGGATTCTATTCGGGATATATGGGGATTCCATTTTAGGTCGCTACTCAAAATGACACCCAAAGATTTATACGTTGTCACACGCTCAATAATATTGTTACCAATTTGGATTGGTCGGAGTAAGAAATTGGGGTTATGTAGGAAGTTTATAAGCATTTCCTTACACTTCTTGGGATTGAGCTTCATGTTATGTTCATTAGCAAATTCATGTATATCAGAGACTGCAAAATTAAGGAGGCTGATAGAGTTCCTAGGAATAATCTCGTGGGCTGAAGTATCATCCACGAATTTTGTACGGAGATGCCAATTAGCCAGTAAGCTATTTGTCATGACCATAAAAAGTACCACTCCGAGTTTAGTCCCTCGGGGTATTCCTCCCTTCAGAGTTTGCCATTGAGAAGGACACTACCAATTCTAACCGCCTGCCTACGATTGAATAAAAAGGCTGAGATCCAGGACAGCAAGGCAGGGTGAACCTGGAGCTTATACAGTTCTTGTATTAAAATAGAGTGGTCAATTAGGTCAAAACCTTTTGAGAAGTCTGCAAAGAAGATACGAGCACCAGCTTCGCCCCCGTCCAATGCCTCATGAATTGTTTGCATCATGTAGAGAAGGGCATCTGTTGTTGCACTAGTGCCCTTTGCGGGCATATTGGCGAGGGTCGATTTTTCCTTCCAAGTCCTTTAATAGTCTAGTGCAAGTAAAGCCTTCCATAACATTTGCCATTGAAGAAGTAAGCGAGATTGGGCGGAGATCATTTTCAATTGTTTGAGGAGGTGATATCTTCGGAACTGGAATTACGATAGATGACTTAAGTGGTGATGGGATATTCGCTTCTTTCATTGACTGGTTGTAAATATTACGAATGACTGGAGCCAGTTCAGGAGCAAACTCTTTCAGGATTCTATTCGGGATATTATCAAGGCCAATCGCCTTACTAATTTGCAGTGATGCTAATGCTTTAAACACCTCACTTTCCGTAACCAAGAATTCTTCCGGGATTTGCATAGGTGGAGTTGGTTGGCTCAGAGGGGCGAAGTGATCTGTAAGACTATAACAAAGAAGTCGTTCACTTTATTAGCTAGGGATTCTATATCCATGTTGTTATCAAGGAACTGATGATACCATTCCTGTCGGATATTTTGACCTGATAGTTTTTTAATCTCTTTCCACCACTTTACAGGGTTAACTCTATCAACATCTGCTACCTTACTATGAAAGTAATTGGATTTTGCTGACTGGATCGCACGTTGAACCTTATTCCTCCAAAAACTATAGTCTTTAGAATTTTTTCCTTGTTGTTGCAATACACATTGACGTCTAGAAATCCACAGTTTTATCGTATTAGTAATCCACGGTCGATCTGTCGGATGCTTTTTAATCATTTTCTGTGGGAGAAAGGTATTAACTGCTTGGTCAAGCTCTGACACAAAGAGGTCAAATTTATCTTTGCTCGTACTCGCACTTAATACCGATGACCAGTTTTTTTTGGTTATCCATCGTCCAAAGGCACACCACGCAGAGTTCCGCATGTCCCAGATTCCAATTTTGGTAATAGTCTGTTTAGATGATATTGCTATATTTGGTTTTGCTAAGATCGTATAGTGGTCAGACGAACCAACCTTTGGCAATCTTAGCCAATCTATATACTTCAAACATCTTAGGTCTATTTGTTAACAGCCAATCCAATACGGCAGAATCTCTGGTTTTAAAAGATATAAGTTGTTTAAGATGGTTCACCTGTGTGATATATTTCATTTTAAAACCAGAAGACGTGGGATTAAAGTCACCTGTAAGTAAAACAAGAGCGTTAGGTTCCTTAAAGAGTAATGAGTCAAGGTTATTCTGCACATGGTCTCTAAGGACAACATTCTCAGGTTCTTTATTGGATGTTGAATGATATATTACAACTAGAATAATGGATGTAATTTCTCTTCGGAGTTTATGTGGTCTTAATGAAATCCAAATTGATTCTACATCAGATTGGTCACATGAATCCAAACGGTTACAAGGTATTTTATGATCCAAATATACACAGACCCCACCACCAGAAGATCCTTTGCGATCCCTACGAAATAAGTTGAATCCAGGGATAGATACGCAATGATCAGGAATGTCAGGTGATAGCCACGATTCAGTAATGCAAATAACACTTGCAGAGTTTAGCTCTGCAATTTGCTGGAGCTCGTCAATTTTCTTTGGTAATGATCTTTCATTAGTGGGCAATATAGTCGGGATATCATAGGATTTTGGGTGATTCTTATTAGTAACAAGGGGAATTGAGATCAGGTTGTTAATATTTCGGGTCTTTCGGGTATAATCCTTAATCAATATCTGATTGCTCTCGTGGGCATACCATTAGGGGTGCAAGGTCGGTAAGGGTTGTATGAAAGGCTGCGCGTACAAAAGGTTCATAAGTGGGTGAGATATCGCAGGTGGAAACAAAGGGCTGGGATATGGACTTGGTTCCCGAAAAGGGGATGGAAAACCTCTCGGGTCAGACTGCAGAGGTCGCTGGGAATTAATATAGTGGGAAAAATCGCCGGGGTATGGACTTGGAACTCGAAAAGAGGATGTAAAACCACTCGGGCCAACCTGCAGAGGTCGGTGGGAATCAGCAGAGTGGGAAAAATCACATTTAGATCCCTTTACACAATGTCTCTTTCTACGTAGAAAGGGACAAGGCACTAAATGTTTCGGAGTTTGGGTATTTTGATATGACGGTTTATTAAATCTGGTAGTAGGATTTGGGTTATTTTGACTGGAGATCTCGCTTACACTAACGTTAGTGGAATTTAGATCATTGACATCATTAACTTCAATATCGACTTTTTTGGCTTCAGTGGTTAGTATGAGGGGAATAGGATCATTTGCTTGGTTGCCTCCCTTTGTATTATGAACATTCTTAATGATCGAGTGGGCAGCCACTGTGGTAACTTCGTTATTAAACACCGGGTTTCCTCCTGAGAGAATGCTATTCTGTTTAGACGTATGTGTAGGGGTTTGCGGCCTTTTGTCTATGTTTGTTTTAGTTTTGCGAGATTTAGTAATTTTATAAGTCCCGCTCCTTCGTTATCAAGCACAATAATCGGTTCGTCGCTCAGTCCACTTTGAGAATGGGTTATATCGCTGTCTATCTGAGTCATTACGGATTTAGTTTTATTCAAGCAATTGTTGTGTGGGTCGACATTTGCATCCTTTTGTTTAGAGCAATACTCATAGTGCTGATGAGAATCTTGATATAAAATTTTTAGAGTAGTTGTAAGGCTATCTTTTTGGTTCTCAAGATCCTTTACTTTATAATTCAAATCAGATAAAGCGTATTTAGTTATGTGAAGACTATCTTTCAAAGCATTGTTTTCTTCCTTAAGTTTTGTATTTTCTTGCCGTAATCCATTTACGCATTCAAGCCCATTATTTAGGCAGTAGTTCTTTAAAATATTCATATCGTTAACCACTGTTAGAATTTTATCCATAAATTTAGACTCAAAATACTTGATTTCGGTTTCAATTTTATCAATTCTATTAGTCGTATTTGTAGGCAAGGGTGCAGTTTGATCAATTGCTTCGCCCAATAAGGTTTTTAAAAAGTGTTGCCACAACAGACCATTTAAAGATAGCTAGTGACAAAGACAATATTGTTCAATCCTGTTAAACAGCAGGCTCATAATTTTTACGCGTGTCCGCGTATTCAGTCAGACCGTTGCCATATGGTCAGCGGATGGGTTTTCGATAATCTAGCGTCGTAAATCTCTGTTGCCCATTGAAATGAATATAACTGGAACACTATCTTCAGATAAACTCCCTATTCAGTAAGCAATCTTTTCTGTTTTATCGGGTCGAAATACATTTGTTTGCCTTCAAACGACTGGGTACGGTGAGTCTTTGATTTACCAAGTTGCTCCCGCAAAAACCGGTTTGATGCTACGTGTTGAACATCACTTGTTGTCATGGCAATTTTTACACATGCCCGACAGAAAACGTGTCAGATCTAGACTCTCTCCTTAGATGAGGTCTTTTCTCCTTCGCTTTCCTGCACAAATGGAGCCCTCTGCCAGCAGGGAACCAGGGCATTCGCTTGCCCTAATTTATTGCGCGGGTGTATATGAAATTTTGCCGACTCACCTCAACCACTAATTAATATTTCTTTTCCCACAACTGTTGGCGAGCAGAGAACGGGGGGGGGGGGACGCTGAATATAAAAATTATTTCCAGACATCAGATTTTCAATTTCTTTTGGGTTAACGTCTCTTAACTCCTCCGTTAACATTCGTATAATTTTTCCTTAATTTTTAGCAAATTTCTCCAAATTTTAGCTACAATTATTAGTTTTTAATCATTGTCACGGCCCTGGATGCGCGTCGTTTTAGATTTTACTTCTACTACCCCTACCTCTCACAGGGCTTAATATGCATTTGATTGGTCAATCGGGTTGATTAAACGCACAGGTTGGAAGTAAAATTCTCTATAATTATATTGTCGATAACAGGGCTGGTTCCGTGCGTGTACTTTGACTTGTAAGTTGAAACAAGTTATGGGTATCATCTGCCTATAAACATTATTATTAGGAATGAAGTGACGTAATATGTGGCCTTACTTCTTCATGTTGCAGCTGCTTCTACACCATTTCCAGTATTCTGTGATATGAAAAATGGAGGTAAGACTTCACAAAGAATTCTACAATCCGGAAGATTCTAAGAAATCAGATAAAATTGCAGTGATGTCTAAACAGAACAGATTTGAAGTAGAATACTCTACATTCATAGTTGTTCACATCGTTGCTTCCTAATTCACAACTTCAGAAAGCTCACATGACTGGTTACGATTGTTCTAGTTTACAAAAGCATAAAATAAAACAAAGGTAACCAAGGATTAGAGTTATTCTCTCATGTACTAGATAATTCTAAAGCTTGGTTACCTTTATTCTATTATTATGCTTCTGTAAACTACTGTACTGTAGAACAAATTAACTATAGGCATGTGGGTGGTGTAAAGTTGTGATTTGGGCATAAACAAACGTTAGCCAAATTTGTCTATTGCCCCAACCACTTGTTCTAACATCAGTATTACGAGTATTACGAAAGAACAGCAAACATGTTCAATATAGTAAGGGTTTGCGTGTTTCCAAAGAATGCATGAACGGAAGACAATATTTCAGGGTGGGATCCAACTGCTTGTACTGAGAATTATTAGTGTTTTATAAACTTTATATCCCTCAGGTTGGACCCTAATATTCAAAGGCATTGCGGGTGTACTTGGAATTATGTCAGATATCTGGCAAAGTCCGTCTACATTTTAACGAAAGTTCGCTAGAAGCTTTGAATATTGGGAGCAGATTTAAAAATCACTACAAAAATAGAATTGTTCAAGAATGGAGCACTTTTCTTCCAACACAGGTAAAGAAAAAAATATATGCTCTTCCTAAAAATTCAGAGATGCACATATAGTATATATTATGCAGATACATTAATTTAATTGTTTGTTATTAAGTTATACCGCGGCTAAAATATATGCTATCAGCCTAGGCCTCCTTTTCTCCTAGGTTCAATGATAGTTTATTAAGATATGATGGTTTGGAAGCCCGGCAAACTTCAAAGCTACAAAATAGAAGAGCTTTGTTTGATGTTGAACTGTACCTCACCATGCATGCACAAATCCTTTGTCTCAACTTTATTAAATATTATTCATCGTGGTTGCACTTTCATCTCAGCTATCCCTATTGGACGGTACTTAATTATACGAAAATACAATGAACTCAATCACCGTGACCGTGCACAAATTACCATAAACTCCGACAAAAACATATAACAAATACTTCTGTTTAATTTCATTATCATATCTTGATCATATGGTTCAATACCTTCAAGTCCCTCCTCATATCATCCACCTATCCTATCAATTCTAAATATCCGAGCCAAACTACTCATCCTAGCCCAACAATTTTTCCTGACCAAACTGTTCATCCTGGCCAAACTATTCATCCTAGTCAAAACTATTCATCCCAGTCAAACTATTCATCCTAGTCAAACTATTCGCCCTAACCAAACTATTCATCCAACCAAACTATTCATGACTGTGGTAACCAGCTGATTTTCTTCTCTCTTTCACAACTCTTTCACAAAGGTAGCGCCTCTATAGTTCACATGATGTTAGATACTCGCTATTATATATGCATGAGAATAACGCAAAAATTGTGTTGTCAGCACAAAATTGATCGGAGCCGGATTTGAACCCGCATATTCAGCACACCGGGCTCACGCAATGTTCTGAATGTTTTAGCCTCTACTTGTTTACTGGCCGACATGGAGGCTGGGGGGAACTTGCCTACTTCAGTATATATATGTCAAAATAGGCCTTGGTATATATCATGACAATTCTTTGTTTAAGGCTCGCATTGTCCTGTATTCTCGTGGTAAAGAAGACGTGATCTTGACGTTCAATACTCAAAATACAAACAACATGAATTGGTTTGCAGAAGCAAATCTTCATACTTCGCCTTGGCAAGATATTCATGAGAAAGTTAAGAATTATTTTAGCGTGGTTGGTCATTGTCTTGCAGATAAAGGCTGTCGTAATTTTTATATCAATCACCAACATTCCGGTTGTCCTTCGGATACCGGATGGTTAACGCCATTGGGAATATGTACCAGTGTTGTGAATGGGAAAGTAAATATGGAGTACTTCGTTTCTCTATTATATATAGTAAAAAGACAACTACTGTTACCTGGAATGTTTACGGTGGGTTTACTTGTTGGCAATCTTAAAATCTTAAATCTTGATTATCATTAATTGAAACAGTTATTAGAAAATAGTTTTAATGTAGATATGCCATGTACCTGGTCTTTACGTCGTAGTTGTTCGTGTCATAGGTCTTAATTAATCAAGTTTCTAAAGTAAACATATGTTTGTTGCTTGAGTATTTCTGTAATTGTTTTCTGATATAGTCGGTATAATGTAGTTTAGGCTGGGTTTTTTGTTGTTTTTTTTATAGTAATAATCACTTATATTAAACCAACCATACAAATATGTCTGAGCTTCAAACAATTAGCATATGTTTATTTTGGTTGTAGTATAGTAATTGTAGCAATAATTTAATTAAATTGTAAAAAGGTAGAGTGCCTCGCATGGGACTTCGAGTCCCGTTTGCACTCGTGCGGCCGGTTTGGTATGTGGCTTGTTTTACTGTCCAATAAAGTTTACAATAATACACACTTTGTCATGATCAATACATAAAATAACAGCCTCATTCAGAATTAGAATATGTGTCCAAGGCAGAGAGCCTCAGGCCTCATTTTGTTGTTAACTCATGCAAAAATATGTTCGTCGTTCCATCGTCACGCGTAGATTGTATTTAAAGTATTAATGAAACAAAACCCCGGCCTTTTTGATTAGCTTAAATAAATAATTTATTCAGCGTTTTAGAAGCAATTTGATATATCCTTCAGTATCATGCGTTGAGTAGAAGTTTCCGAATTTTGCCTCCAAATAAAGTTGGCTATTTCATGCGAACGCCATGTTAATTTAATCTCTGCGACATAAGAAAGAGGACGGGGAGTCAACCTCGTTCCCATTACGGGAGTCCGCAAAGCAGCATGATATTTAATTGAACTCTATAGCATTTGTTAAGTGAGTTGTTTGCAGTGAAATTTATGTATTTTTTTGAAATAACACAGGTTCTACACTAAAACGTTTATGCAGAGATGGTTTGGGAAAACAGTCGAATAGTACATATCCAGAAAACGATAGTAAGATTAACAACCTTCAAATCATACTGTGACCATACTGAACCAATTTTTAGTGACCTTAAAATACTAAACTTGTATAAATTGAATGATTTTTTAACAAGTTTATTTATGTTCCGATATATTCATTTACAAAATCTTCAAGAAATTTTTAATAAATATTTTTAACTAACAAAGAAATCCATAATTATAACAAAAGAAACGCATTATTGCTACACAAAAGTTGTCCTAGAACAAATGATAAAAAACACACTCTCGCTAATAACGGCATTGATGTGTGGAATAATTTTCTGACGCAATATAAGCAACTTAGATCTCTTCCAATATTTAAATCAACAATGAAAAATATTTTCTTCTGTCAAATTTAACTAAACAAGTAGAATTCCTGCCTGTAGGAATCTCACAGTATTCGAAATTTATATCTACAAAACCCTTCAACAATGAGTTCTATCTATTAACTCCTGATATTTACATATAACAGTTAACTTTAACCTGTTGGTTAAATCTCTTCCGAGCAAAACAAGAAATCCAATCCACTTGAATATTATTAATATTTTCAAATATTGTTTCAGCTGATGTTGGTGCCACCGAAGTGTTTGCAGTTTATCTTCGTTATACACTGTCCAAGTGGACACATTAACAACAATTATAGTAGATTCCCCCATGCATGTGCATGGTTGTTCTCGGCGAAACAAGAACTTTTAAGTTGAATACTTTATTATTTTTTTTTATAT